GTACCAGGTACTGTACCCAGTGGAAAACCCCCCAAAAGTGAACCGTACCATGCAGTGGAAAAGCGCCAATAGTTTCAGGCAATGGCGTGGCTTTCACATCCACAGAGTTCCAAGAGTCTGCCGAGCGCAATGGTATTCGCCACGTCACTACAGCACCTTATCAACCGAGCTGGATGGCTCAAGCTGAACGCATGGTACAGACAACCAAGGAGGCCCCGTCTCGCATCACCGAGGGCGAGTGGCAGACCCGACTTGCTCGTTTCGTACATGAGAAGTTACACCAGGGATTCTAAGTGGATTCTTGGGGCCATCATTGATGGTACCCTCAGTGGACCCATCAAACCCCGAGCCAGTTTGCTACACTGTCTCTCTACCCGCAGGGGCTGAAATACTTGAGTTACAGCCACCCATAACAGAGATGATAAACACTGGTGAGGAGCTTGCTGGGGCTGAGGGCATGTCAGAGTCCCCTCCTTCTAGGAGGTACCCCGAGAGAATCGTCCCCCAAGAAGATTTTCAGACTTTGTGGACTGGGAGAAAGGGGTGTAGTGTATTGGCTAAATATATTGCAATAGTGAGGTTCCTTTAAGTGGGCTAAAGACTGAGAGGGGGAGTTACTAGTTTTCCCCGAGGGGAAGTGGTGTGTTATGCAGACTGTTCTAGGTGCTAACTGAAGATGTATGTCCTGCTCTGTGTTGTATCGTGTTCAGTAAAAATGTACAGATTACAACAGCCTCCTCCTGTCATTCAAGTATCTTACACACATGACGGTACCACCATGGCAGATGTAGTACATCTAAATTTCATTCATACGATCCTTATTCATAATATAATACAGCATACTTTGTCGCTAAGCTAGTTCAAATTCAAATGTACTACCTACTCAGACAATGTGATTCACAGATGCACAGTTAGCCTTGGATGCCTGGAGACTTTGCAAATATGAGTAAACAAACTTCCCTTAAAATGGACTTTGGCTCTCTAATGCAAATTAAAGTTAATAACGGTCATGTCTAGCCATGATGTGGCAATATTAAAATACTGATAAAAGAAGCTGTGACCATTTTTGTGTTCACATGAGGTCAATACTCCAAATACACATACACTTTAATTCTTTCTGACATTACAGTGAAGTTAAAGTAGTTGCCACAAAACAATTTTTCATTTCTATCCAGTAAATATCTTACCTTACATGGCAGCATACATGCTATGTAAGAACAGTGATGAAATGGATAATTAATAAACCATGGCTTTTTGAATCCCTCCCAGCAATGAAAAAAAAAACGAAGTGCAATTGCCAGTGACTCTCTCACTCTTTACGCCATTTTATCACATAAAATATGATTAACAGCCTTATGTAATCCAGGTACTTATATTACTGTAGTATTTTATTTTGAGGATTTGAAATAGTTCTGTCTGGTTTAATATAAAAATCATTGCTCTACTCCAGTGGTCACCAATCTTTTTAGGCCCAAGATCCCTGACCTCGGCCTTTATGAAAGACAAGATCTACCTATTGAAGAATTGATAGAAAAAGACATCCCAGATTGTACTTCAAATTTGAGGCCTTTTACTTAGTATTTTAATTAGTGATGCGCCGATCATAGCTGATTCAGAATTCAGATTTTCTTTTAACTAGCAAATTGAATTCTGATACTGATATTTAAGCAAATTTATTTATTGGCCACAGGTGGCACAAGAAAAACTCTTGACTGTCAGCTGCTGTTTTGATGTTAAGTCTGTTTCTCCATCAGAAGATGAACAGCCTTCGTCATCTGAAATTAACAAAATGGTTATAAATTTTGGGTTTTAAAATATACTTGAGATTTGTTTGTCACTCAGGAAATATACAGAAATTCTGTAATGATCTGTCTATATAAGTCTAGGGGTGAACAATTAATAAAAAAAAATAAAAAAAATCACGTTTTTTTTAATAAAACTTTATCAATATTTTTTATTGATAAAGTGAGTTTGGAAATGCAACATTCTCCACCATATTTATAATTTTATAGTATAAAAACACATTCAAAATCAAAATCTCAACAGAGAGAGAAAAAAATACTATCATTTGCCATTATGTTCCCAAATATCTCAGAAAATCTTCTCTCAAACCTGATCAGATCATCAGAGACCATCAGTCAATATGAACCTGATCCTGCAGAGACTCTGCTGACATTCATCATAGAAATAAATAACAAACGGTCGTAAAAGGAAGAAACAAACCTGGAGGAATGAATTCTTCATCTTCATCATCCCCATTATTCTCATCATCATCATCCTCCTCTTCCTCATCACTGTGTTGTTGTTCCTCTGCGGTGGTTTCTTCTCCTCGGCTCTCTATCAGGTTCCTGCAGTCCACCAGTTTGACGGAGCACATCTTCAGCGGCGTCTGCAGCATCTGCTGTTCTCCAGCGTTACAGTCAGAGGTTTGATCAGTGGATTCATGATCCTGAGCGTCAGTATAACAGAGTAAAGTGAGGCTGAGCTCTGAGTCCTGTGTGTCTCTGGATCTCTGATCTCTGACGCTCCAGACTGAATCCTGAGCTTCTGTCCCATCAGTCACACGCACTGAAACCTGCTCCACATCCTGACAAACACAATCAGTAATACATCTAGTAAGAGTATGATTAAAAATAAGACATTAATTCACATAACAATCAGTCCATATTAGCAGC